TCATTTTTCTCTTGGCAATACCCCATGGATTCTCTATGGGGTTCAGGTCAGGCGAGTTTGCTGGCCAATCAAGCACAGTAATCCCACGGTCATTGAACCAGGTTTTGGTGCTTTTGGCAGTGTGGGCAGGTGCCAAGTCCTGCTGGAAAATGAAGTCAGCATCCCCATAAAGCTCGTCTGCGGAAGGAAGCTTGAAGTGCTCCAAAATCTCCTGGTAGATGGCCGAGTTGACCCTGGACTTAATGAAGCACAGTGGACCAACACCAGTAGATGACATGACTCCCCAAATCAACACAGACTGTGGAAACTTCACACTGGACTTCAAGCATTCTTCCTCCATACTCTGGGTCCTTGGTTTCCAAATGAGATGCAAAAGTTGCTCTCATCAGAAAAGAGGACTTTGGACCACTGAGCAACAGACCAGGTCTGTTTTCTTTAGCCCAGGTAAGACGCTTCTGACATTTTTGTTGTTCAGGAGCGGCTTGACAAGAGGAATTCGACATTTGAAACCCATGTCCAGGATTTGTCTGTGTCTGGTGGCTCTTGATGCATTGACTCCAGTCCACTCCTTGTGAAAGTCCCCAACACTTTTGAATGGCCTATTCCTGACAATCCTCTCCAGGCTGCAGTCATCCCTGCTGCTTGTGCACCTTTTTTTTTTCCACACTTTTCCCTTCCACATAACTTTCTATTAATGTGCTTTGATACAGCACTTTGGGAACATCCAACCTCTTTTGCAATTACCTTTTGAGGCTTTCCCTCCTTATGGAGGGTGTCAATGATGGTTTTCTGCACAACTGTCAAGTCAGCAGTCTTTCCCATGATTGTGATTCCTACTGAACCAGACTGAGAGACCATTTAAAGGCTCAGGAACCCTTTGCAGGTGTTATGGCCTAATTAGCTGATTTAGAGTGGGACACTTTGAGCCTAGAATATTGCACCTTTTCACACTATTCTCATTTTCTGCGATTGTGGATTTGGGGTTTTCATGAGCTGTAAGCCATAATCATCACAAATATGACAAATCACGGCTTGAACTATCTTGTTTTGCATGTAATGAGTCTCTCTCATATATTAGTTTCACCTTTTAAGTTGCATTACTGAAATAAACAAACTTTTGCACGATATTCAAATTTTTCGAGTTTCACCTGTATGTTGGAATACTTACATACCAATACATATCTCTGTTTTCACTTTATAGCTAAACTAGTACTTTCACAATAAAATAAAAAGACTTCTTTAGAGAGTTATATATTTTATTATGGACGGATGTACAGTTGTAGTTAAAGAAACTGCAACAGACATGGAAGCATCATAATACAATCGAACAATTAGTATTTACAGAATAATCACCACACATATACAATGAACAAATTATGTCACCACTTAAATTGATGCACAGATTTATTTAGCTGGAGCCCAAAGCAGCATTGTATGGAATAAGGTGTGTATGTGTATTCTGGCCTCTGGAAACTATAATTGTGTTCTTTTACTATGTTTCATTTAAGAAAACCTAACAAATTAAAAAAACATTTTGGTGGAGAATATTATGTTAAACTCTTACATTTCTATGTAATTTCACTTTGCAGTTTTCTAAAGCCTTGCTGAAGTAACCTGTACATATTCTTCAGCCTGGATAAGAGCAATATATACAAAGTATTTTTGAAGTCCGTTTCTGCTATAACACAGATTACAATGGAAGTGTGACTCGAAGTAGTGCTAAAGCTTGCTGAAAGCCTGCTAACTGCTAGTTTAAAGTACAATCCAGCAGTCGCCTTAGCATCTGTTTAACATTCCCAAACTCAAGGAGACAGGTGCATTATAGACTAAAGCTTAGAAATTATTTGCAAATGCTCTTATCAAAACTGAAGTCCACATGTACAAGGCCTAAATGTCCTGTGACTTTTGGGGCCTGTATCAACGGGCTTTTGCTCACTTCACTGGGTTTCCCCAAGTCTATGAGGATGCAAACGCTGCTTGGAGCAGGTAAGAAGCAGGTTAAATACAGCTGCCAGTGAATTCTGAATGATCTTAGAAATGTCTCAAACTGGTGCCACAGACACATGCCCAAAGGCCCTTGGACTTAAGTGAACCTCTACAAATCCATTGCAGCAAAGTCTACAGCAGTAGCATTAAACAGTTAAGTGCTTTGAAAGCAATTACAAAAGCCAGGCTATTTAACACTAAAATGCCACCAAAAGTATATTTTTTTTATATTTTAGAAAGTGTTCATCCAATAAACAAGCTGCTTTTCCTTATTCATTCAGGTTCTTGCAGCAGGGAGATATGTAAAATACGTAGTAAATTAAAACGACACCAAAATACAGTTAGTAAGGGTAATGTTTCTATACAACTACCCACTGACATGAAAAACAACTGGGTACCCTTCTTTATGTATCCTTTTTTGTAATTTTTACTATGAAAAAACAAAACAAAACAAAACTTACATTGAAGCTACCTGAAGATAGAGGATAGTGAACCAATGTGGCTGGACTGGCCTGATCCCTTGCAATTACTCCTCCCATGATAAGGAAGCACCCCAACCTACTGCTAGGTCTCCTTCAGAGGTTGACTACAAGTTAAGCAGAGTCAAACTATTATTTTCTGTCTCTTTATCTAGAAGTCTATTTCTATCTCAGAAATAATTAGTCCCCCTTACATGTTCAGTTCAGTGCACACAAACATAACATTCTACGAACAAAATCAACAATTGGCTGAGTAGAGGAATTATGCTGATTATATTGCATTGGTTGAAAAATCTTTCTCCACAGACTATAATTTCTGAGAATTGTTATATATTACTACAGACGATCATTTAACATACAGGTTAATTAGAGTCTAAAATATGCAGCTGTTCAACATACGTCACTTGAAAGAACGACCAGTCCCCCCCTGAAATTGTACCGCATTATTTTATGCTGCCATGAGTTTTCTGATACAATGCAGCCATAAACAAGTGACTACAGCAAGCCTAAAGTTCAACCTTAGATAAATCTTTAAAGTTTTTTGCCAGTAGATTTTTTTTTCTTTTTTTAAAGAGGGCAAATCCCTTTGAAAGATAAATATGTGCAATACCAGATATGTCTGCTACAGTCCCCTCCCTCCACTCAACCTACAAGAAAATGGTAGCAACCATGTTGTGGCATAACATCAGAGCCCAAACAAGAGCTTTCACAAGTCCCTAGTGTACAAATACAGTGAGATCTGATGCATGTTGTCCATCTGTCAAAGAGTGGTGGCACTCAATGCCAGTTGAGAAGGAAATGGTCTTTTCCATGTGGAATACCAGGGTATTGTTTCTTATTAGACGTCTGTAGACAGATCACTTTTCTGTGAAGCAATACTCAACTCTTGAAGACATGAAGACAGGATACTAATTGATCAAGTCTCTATGGAGGTGGCAGCTTACTAGTTAATTACAAGGTTAGATATGGTGTTATCTTTTAAAATGTTATCCACTGTGGCTGGTGAATGACCATACTGAATTAAAATCAGTTTTGTACATATGATGATCAGTGTTAGCTTATGAATATATTGCTATATGTGCACATAAAAAAAAAAAAAATTAGACAAACATTAGAACAACTCTGCATTAGCACCTTCACACCAAGACGAATCAGTCCAGTGTAAGTGCAGAGAGGTACTAGACAAACAAAAACAGGCACAGGAGAGTGTCCATGAGCTGCCAAATAATAGAACGTTGTGAAGGACGCCTCACCTGTGCTATATTACATTCCAGTAGTAGCTCATTTACATATAATCTAAGCTCCAGCTAAATAAATCACATTAACAGAGAATTAAGAAAGTGCCCGTACTTAAATAACATGAGTACACGATAACAATGTTCAACACTTTGGACAAATCAATACTGTGGTTGGGTATACAATCAATTAGTACATTAGTGCAATATACCTGGAGACGGTCAGTTGCCCCAAGGGCCACTCAGTCTTTGTCAGTTTGTGTTATTTTTAGTTCAACCAACAAGATTGGAAAAAAGAAGGCCAGTCCTTAATTTAGATTCATATTTCAGTCATTGAATTCTTGTAGCAGTAGGGTATTGACATGACTATGCAACCTGTGTCTATACTTCTGCTGAAAAGATGTATGACTGAATAGTAAAGGCAATAGATGAAATGAGAAAAACCAAGTTGAAGACAAGGATCACGTAAGGTAAAGTCACCTGGTGGGCTCTTGTGCACTTTCTGCACCGCACATTTTAAGATGTGGAAATTAATACCGTAATGTGGTAACTGGAACGTTCAGTATCATTAAGCTCATATAATAATCACATGAGAGAAACAAATCAGAACAATGAAAATTTTGTCATGGAGGCCACACATGTCCTTTTTTTTTTTTTTTTTTTTTTTTTTTTTTGACAAAGCAGAGGGCTAAATTCTACAAATGTGATTTATGACTCACTTTATGAATCTTGCAGCCTCCTCACCCCTTTAATAAAGGAGACACTTGATTCGCCATTATTTTGGCACAGGGAAGAGCAATGTAAAAAAGCCTACAGATCATTACTGCACTTGTTCCTAACAAGCTGTCCCCACAACCTGTGGAAATCCAATGCATCCTTTATTCCAGAGAAAAAAAATTTCAATTCTAGCAGAGTGTGACATGCAGTGCAACAACAGGAGACAGAGGCCAAACACCAAAGCTACATGTGGCCAATGTGCCCAGCTTTGTCATATTCAGTGAGTCTGGGCTCCATTCCAAAATTCTAACATAAGGATGTGCTCTAACTTGACTTGTACTTGGAAATCATGAAGTGCACAGTCCTATAGACTAAACAAAGTTAGACATATGCATTACTGGCAAGGATCCAATTTTGGAATAAATGTATGATGAGCTGTCACCAATTTGAAGTATTTTGGTTGAACAGATATGGTAACTGAAAGAGTTCTGCTGTAGAATCCCAAGCTGTTGTGGAATGTGGCATCCAAAAGTGGCCCAAGGATAAGGTGCATTTGGGTCTTCTACTTTGTTTCCCATCTTCCCTATTCAGCACGGTCCATCTTTCTTTCCTGTATCGTCTCCTCCTCTTCAGGTTCAGAGTTGTAGGATTCAAGGCTTTGTTTGGCCATTTGATCCCTTCTTGCCCGTAAGCGTTCACACTTTGGGCAGTGATCAGAGCAAAAGCAGCCTTTGTGATAGCAGGCTTTACATTCTGTTGGTGTGAAAAAGAATAGAGGTAATACATGCAGAATCACCAATACAAAGAGTTCAGAAGAAAATCTGCAGCCCCCATACAACTTGTCTGCACTTCTGCCTCTACCTGTCTACTCTGTGGTCTGCTCTGCGATTCGTCAGAGGGCACAAGCTGGCCATAGATGGTTCAAATTTAGGCCAATTCAGCAGGGACCAGCTGAGATTCAATCCATGTATGAGCAGGTTGATTGTACCCAAGTCAATCCAATGATCGACTTGGGTACAACCAGCATGTTGGATTTCTGGCATTCGATTACTGCCAGCGGCTATAGCCACTAGCAATAATCACTGTGTTCTCCCAGCAGGGACGGCTCCCCGAGCCCCACCGCCTAGCTCCATGGGATGAATTTCCCCATCAACACTGACCATGTTGATGGGGGAATCTAGCGATTTTCTTACTTGCCACCACGGGTTGCAGGAAATAAAAATCACATCATGAATGGCCTGCCTTAGGAGACAAGTAACTCCTGACACGGAAACTCAAATCACAGTTACAGTAGAAAGTTAACAGATGCCATACATACTGAAATTTACATTAGCTTTTGTGGGGTTTGCTGCTTTGATTTTGTCGGCATGTGCCAAAAAAAAAAAAATAATATGTACAATGGGCACATTCCTGTTTTGTGTCAAACAAAATCTTAAACAAGGCTACATCGCTACGTCACTTCCGGGTCCAGGGATGTTCAGCCATAGCGAAAGCAAAGCCTGGAGCACACGTTGGCCATCTTTGACATTGACAAGCTGCAGATACTGGTGCTGGTATTATAGGCACAGCTCCATGTGCAAAATCATTTGTTTTATGCTCTTAATGTTTATATAATAAATGCTACACTTAAAAAGATTTTGTATCTGTCTGGTGTATCTGAGCAGTCTGGCACCACATCTTCTTAAGGATTAGCCCGCAGTGAACACCATAGATGAAATCAGAAAGTTTCCTGAAAATCCCATTGCCTTAGCTTTTGGCCTTACCAATAGAAAGCTGCTGGAGGGGAGCAACATTCTAGGAAAGCCTGAGGAGGATGGTTCCCTATATGACCAAAAGCGCACCTGAGCACCAAAGGTCTGGTGAGTGAGCAATTTATATATACCTTGCCGCCACGTAGTGAAGATACAAAATCACTCACTTATTTGACTCACATTATAGAGGAATAGAAAGGACTGTCACTTCTTTCAAAACCTAAACTCACCTTTGGACTTTTATTGAATTTTGTGTTTGTGTTTTTTGTAAAGGTAGTGGTGAATATAGCCCCCACTATAGGTGTAATATATATATATAATTTAATGGTTTGGTTTAGGGGCTTGTTGGGAAACAAGCCTCTTATATGTTCATGCACATTATTTATGTAGTGCCTGTCTATTTATAAATATTGTATTGTTATTTCACATTGAATATGCACGCAACCTGTTAATTCTTGTTCAGCATTTTGACCCCTTTCACAATTGTGCCTTCAAACTTCAAATCTGCTTGTACATAAAATGTTTAATCACTGTGAAAGATCACCAAAAACACAGTACTTAACTACCAGTTCCTTATGTATTTCTGGATTGTAATTTGTATTTAGAATCTGAATGCCACTAAATCTGAAATGAAACTTCTGTATGTGATAAATATAGCGAGCTTGCTGTGGATTATACTTCTTCACATCTCCGGCATTTAGACAACTCAAAGGGAAAGATGACCTCATCACTCTGACAAAATTCACAAATGAAGCCTTTAGCTTGGCACAACTACAAGACAAGGATGAAATGAAGACAGTTAAATCAAAGCATGGGTACATCCAGCTATAATCAATTTACAAAATATAAACTAGTTATTTTGTTAACATCAATGTAATAAAATATTCTTGTTCCCTGCATCTGATTTATATTAGGCAGTGACATCTTTGCTTTCTAAATTAGGCCACTAGTTTTAATAGTATTGTATAATAATTATTATTATTATTATACAGGATTTATATAGCACCAACAGTTTGCTCAGCGCTTTACAATATAATGGGAGACAATACAGCAACAATACAGTTCAATACAAGAGTGTTAGGAGGGCCCTGATCCTTGGAGCTTACAATCTAAAAGAGCATTGATATATCAGTGTTTGGAACACAGTATTAATTACGTATAAATACTGAAATGTTAAGCTCCAAGCTTCCATCCGACCCTTTACTAAAGGAAACTGCAGGAGGCATAGAGCCCTCTGAGTTCTAATACAAAAGGATTCTTAAGTAAAAGGTCCACTTTTAAAAGCTAAATTTACCTTTTTAACCATTTGATGCCCGGCCAATAGCTGTATGGCATTCTGAAAAATGTACTAGCTTTCCAGGAGGCCGCCATATGGAGTCCTCCTGCACATGCGCAGTTCTCGCGCTTGCAGAGCCGCGCAGCAGCACGATCTGTCACCTGCCGTGTACCTCGGACACGGCCGATGACAGATCTGAGTACTGGCCCCCATTGCCAGTATCATTTGACCTGCTGTGACCAATCACAGCAGGTCACATGACAGTTGTATACAATGGATGGCTTCATTCATGCCATCCATTGTATACTAGTGTCTAGCTGTGAATGGTCACAGCGATCACATGCACATGTCCTGATTAGCTGTGGCCAAATCACAGCTAAGCACAAAAAAAAAAAACCCTGACTGAATCGATGTCATTCAGGTAAATGCTTGCTTATACCAAAGTAATTCTTTGCTATAAGCAAATTGTGTAAAAAAAAAAAAATACTGATCACTTACCCAAAGTACTACAATGTTACTATGGTAACATTGTACTACTTTGGACATCGTGAAATCTTAAAAAAAAAATCTTAAAAAAAGAGAAAAAAAAATGTAATAAAAAAAAAATTTTTTTTTTTTTTTCCCACTGTCACCAGTCAGTGTCCCTGATCACCACCATGCCAGTTATATGATGACCCTGTACTGCACTGGTGACTGTATGTAAAAAAAAAAATTGTGAAAATAATTTTTCTTATTTTTTCATTTTCCGAAAAATGACAAAAAAAAATAAAACTTCAAAAAACTCGCCATTCCTCTTATGAAGTACGTCGGACTGTCTACTTTGCAAAAAAGGGGTCATTTGGGGATATCTGTACTATTCTGACATTCTTGGACCTCAAGAAATTAGATTGGCTGTCAGTACTTCAGGATTGATCAATATTCAGATCAGATCTATACCATAGTTTGTGAACTCTATAACTTTCCTACAAACTAAATAATACATCCTAATTTGGGTTATTTTCACCAAATACATGTAGCAGAATACATCTCGGCCTAAATTTATGAAGAACAATTATTTATTTGGAAACTTTTATAACAGAAACAAAGAAAAACGTGTTTTTTTTTTCAAAATTTTGGGTCTTTTTTTTGTTAATTTAGCAAAAAATAAAAACCCCAGCGGTGATTAAATACCATCAAAAGAAAGCTCTAGCTGTGTGAAGAAAATTATAAAATTTTAGTTTGGGTACAATGTTGTATGACCGCGCAATTGTCATTCAAAGTGTGAGAGCGCTGAAACCTGAAAAATGGCCTGGGCAGGAAGGTGTAAAATTGCCCGGTACTGAATTGGTTAAAAAAAAAAATAATAAATGCACGCATAATATTAAGAATATGTGCATTTATTTTTTGCTTTTGCATAGGAGCCTGGAGAGCACTGCAATCACAATCAGTGGATTGCAGTTAAACACCTGCAGACTATTGCTGCAGCCAGTGATCTGTGTCAACGTACAGACTTTTGGTTACAGGGCTGGAGGAACTGTCGATGGACTACAAGTGTAGAGATGTCACTTGTGCTCCTTTCAGACCTACAAGTCCCTCCACCGCGATGGCAGAAAGGACAAGTAGTTTTTTTTATTCAAAGATTCCTGTGAATGAATGGCACAACTCTGCAGGCAAAGCCATGCACAACCATGCCAATTTCTTTTCAAATCTTTATTAGAATTTTGTATAAAAGTACAAAAATACAAGGTTCAGAATATAAATTGGGTACACACATCTCTTTCTCAACACTACATCTCAAATACAGTCTTAAGGCTGCTATGGCAAACATAAGATGGCCCACTGGCCATGAACAAAATATGCATCTACTTTAAATTGCAATAGATGGTTCCATGTCCAATCCAAATGATTACAAATATAGCATACTGTACTTGCATAGTATTTTGCTAAATATTAGTCATAGTAAACCCGGATGTACGGGCCCATCTGAACCAGACCTCCTGAAAATCAACCGTGCCAATTTCAATACTGAGAGGTGCCAGCGAGGAAAAAAAACCTCCGATTTTGTAGAGGGGGTTGAAGGTGGGGGCTGTGCATGCTGACATGTTTCATGTGACGTCCTAAATATAGACGGCACATGAAACATGCTCAGAAAAATGATTTTAGCCTTTAAGAACCATTCCTCTGCCTAACTTTTTATAAAAAAAGTTTCAAACAGAATGAGAAAAAAAAAAAAAAAAAGGTTTCCAACATGAATCTTCAGTGATGAGACTTTAAGATACACTAGAACAAAATGAACCGAAAAGGTGCCATTGAATCAAATCATACACTGTAAATGACTAAACAACTGGCAGAGGGGTATGCGGATGGTGTACTCATGGTTTGGGTCATTCTCTTTCTGCTAGATTTAGTGGATATATACCTGCAGATGAGTGGAACATTAATTAGCATGAAATTAGAAACATTGAATGAATGAATAAATCTGTAACACCACAAATGGTAACATTTCAGCACTTAGCTAAAGGCTGAATGAAGAAGCATCGCTTTCACTTTCCAGTGATGGGGGGAAAAAAACCCACCCGAGCACCTACCAGAAAGTGCTTAATGAACTAATGGAAATTCTCACCATGCATTTATCCACATGTAAGGTTCCAAGCCTCACTAACTCCTTCAATCGGGGCCCCAAATCCCCTTTTTTAATGTCAGTAAGGTCATTCAAGGAAAAGAGATGAAGGTCTTCAGTAAGATGTCCAGGTACACTGTCATAAAATTCAAGTATGCTGTGGGAAAACATCCCATAGTTATTATAAATCAGATTTCACTGTCAAAATATTAACATAGAAAAATTAGTTAACAGTAATACTAAACCCACAACAGTAAAATCAGTTTTTATATGCAGTACAGCATGCTTGTTTATACTCACTGTGGAACCTAAGGAGTTAATCCTCTGCACTGTGTGTAAAAAGGCTGTTTGACCCTGTCTTCTCTGATCCTCCCCTTCTTCCACAGTCCCCAATCCATCTGCTAATAGAATAGAGCCTTGGGGGCAAGCTGCACATGCTCAGTTTGAAGTGTACTGCTAGAAAGACTTTTTCTTTGGGAGGGTGCATGTGATCAGTATAGGGCCAATCAGCACTGTCCAGACAGAGGGTCAGGGATGCTGCAGCCTCATAAAACTATCAGGGAAAAAATGAACACTCCTCCTACAAGTTTTAACCAATGCTCTGCTGGACACTGATAGAAGTCACAAGACTGCTCTAACTTCTGATAAGAAAAGGTATTTATCAGTTTATATTTATTAAAATTATTGCATTTCCATGTTGTGTGCACTGTGGGAGACCAGATAGAGTGAATGCAGGGTCCTGGGTTTAGTAACACTTTAAAGTGTTACTAAACCCACAACAGTAAAACCAGTCTGTATATGCATGTATATCTGATCCTCTCCTTCTTCCAGTGTCTCCCTCTTACCTCCTGATAAGACATATTGTGTGGAGTCACTCTGCACATGCTCAGTTTAGTATGTATTACTAGAGGATTTTTTTTTTGTCTCTTGGGAGAGTGCATGTGATCAGCACTGTCCAGACAGAGGTGAGGGGTTCTGCATCCTCCTACAGAAGACAGAAAACTCCTCCTACTAGTTTTAACCAGTGCTCTGCTGAACACTGATAGAAGTCAAAAGACCGATCTAACTGCTGATGAGAAAAGGGATTTATCAGTTTATATTTACTAAAATAAGTTCCATGTTGTGTGTACTGTGGGAGACCAGATATAGCGAATGCAGGGTCCTGGGTTTAATAACACTAAGTACAAATGGATCAATACAATATATAATTCCAAAAGAAGAGCTCACTTTTTGGCCAGTCTGCAAGTTTTGAACATGTTCTTCAGATGTACCAGCTGTATTCTTAATAACTGTAAAGTAAAATAAACAGGCTCCATTATACCTAGCATTACCTTATAAAAAAAAAATATCAAAAGCTTTCCTAAGCCAGACCATGTGCAGGTTCATAGCAGTCTGAGTCATTTTAAACAGGACACCTACCCGAACTTGCTCCAGAGCTTTCACTTTGCGATACATGGCACTATTTATATCATGGAGATTGAATAGAGGATCACTCCAAATTTTGGTGAGAAGGTCCTTAGAGAAGTTACTAACATAATATTTGCTAAAGTCCCATTTCCTTAAAATGCGTCCTGGGATGACTGATTGAGCATTCTCATGACAGCACTGGCAAAAATACTTTCCCAAGTACTCACAGTAGCGAAGCCTTTTGATGTAATCTATAAAAACAAACCGTCAAATATATAAACCTTGCAAGGCAAAACGTTCTGTTGAGCACTCTAATGCTGGTCATTCATAGCAATCTCAACACAGTAAATTCAATGTGAAAACCAGTCAAAGCAACCTACAGGTGGACACATATGGTTGGTGGTAGGTTGTATTGATGTTTGTGGACATTCTGTGATCAAAAACTGGTTGAAAGTATCAGAAACTGACAATCTGAGGCTTGCAACAAAAAAATGTCAAAGGTTATAATAATAAATTAGGGTGCTCAAGAATTTAGAACACAGTTCTTGTTAGAAAAAAGCAGATGATATTGAGGAGCCAAGGAAAAATGTACCTTCAAACAAGAGGATTGTCTCCAAAATGGTGTCTGCTGGCTTTAGGTGCACTGACTATCTGGGTGCTTTTAGTCAATCAACAGATCTATATAATGTAAATGCAGCAACTTTGTCTCTTTAACCGATTCCCATCCGCCCTATAGCAGAAATACTGCTACAGGGAGGCACGGGCGCACAGAAACACGTATATACACACGTAATTTCCATTTCTGGGCTTTCTGGGGATGTCAGTGACACCAATTCAGTTCCCCCCCAGTGTCAGAATGCCCGCCACAGTCCCGCTATAAGTTGCTGATCACCGCCATTACTAGTAAAAATAAATCCCAGTATCAATACCACCATTTGTAAACGCTATAACTTTCACGTAAACCAATTAATTTACATCTATTTGGATTTTTTTTTTTTTAGCACAGACCTGTAACAGAATACATTTTGTCCTAAATTTATGACAAAATTTGATTTTTTAAATTTTTTTACTGGACATGTTTAATAGCAAAACGTCAAAAATACTGTTATTTTTCTCAAAATTGTCAGCCTTTTTTTTTTCCTTTCTATAGCGCAAAAAATAAAAAAAAACGCACAGGCGATCAATTACCACTGAAATAAAGCTCTATTTGTGGGAAAAAAAGGAGGTAAATTTCATTTGGGTGCAGTGTTGCATGACCACGCAATTGTCGGTTACCACAACGCAGTGCCGTTACGCAAAAATGGAAAAGATCCCCCTGCCCACTGTCACAGGGAAGGGGGTTCGAGGCAGGAGCTGGAACATTTTTATTTATTTCAGGTACTTATATAGCGCTGTCAATTTATACAGCGCTTTACATATATTGTACATTCACATCAGTCCCTAACCCTTAAGGGGTGTACAATCTAAGGTCCCTAACCTACATTCATACGTACATACTAAGGACAATTAAGAGAGAAGCCAAATAACCTACCAGCATGTCTTTGGAATGTGGGAGGAAATCGGAGTACCCAGAGGAAACCCGCACAGGGAGAACATGCAAACCCCAGGCAGGTTGTGCCATGGTTGGGATTCGAACCAATGACCCTAGTGCTGCCAGGGGGAAGTGCTAACCATTTAGCCACTGTGCTGCCCATCTTACATATTCCACCCTAAATATGGTTAGAACATGAAACATGTTACAAGCCAAAGGTGAACTTAACCTTTAACTTCCCTTCTACCTGCATCACCAAACATACTCAAATTTCTAAGGCAGAACAGGTGCCTATGAGAGAATTGTTTTTGTTGGGATGGCATTTTCATACATCACTCAGTATTGCAGGGGCAGAAGGAAGGGTGTTCTAGAAGAACAGGCAGGTGTGTTCCAGCATCAACACATTGCTGACCAAACGGGATAGTGTAGGCTGGTGTCCGACAGTAGTGTTTGGCTGAAAAGCTGAACCACTCAGCAGGTAAGCTCTGCTTATTGTATACATTGCAAAGGTTTCATTTTCAGCTTTCAAAGGAGTGTGCTTTAAATAACTGGGTTTTTTTTTTTATTTAAAAAAAAAAAAAAAAAACTTTTACTTTTCTGTTACACAGCTCTACCTCACAGCATAACTCTGTCTGGCAGGGCGGGAGACCTGTAGTTCATACAGGTCTGGTCCCACCCCAGTCTGTGACTGGACAGTGAAAGGAGAAGCAGCACACTCATCTCTCTGTCCTTCTGCTCTCTCTCCTCCTATCAGCATGTTCCACGAGTACTGCAGCACAACTGACTTTTTTTGTGCTGCTTCTCCCTATTCCAATCTAAGCTCTGCTACAGAGGGCCTGCAAGAGGTTGACAAACAATCAGTACATACACTGCTTGCTTAACCACTTTAGCGCCGCCCCATAGCAGAAATACTGCTACAGGGCAGCAGTTGTGCACAAAATCAAGTATATATACGTGATTTTGCATTTCTCCCTGTCTGTGCCGCCATTCGAGATTACTCGCAGGCGCCCGGTGATTGCGGAGGATCTCCGACGGGGGTGGGGTAACTGTTAGTAAACAGCACAGCCATACAAAGCAGAGTTCTTACAGTAAAACACACACACAGAACATAATGTAAAACAGCACACAGTTAACCCTTTGATCGCCCCAGATGCTAACCCCTTCATTACAGGTTCAGTGCTTTTTATTAGCGCTGATCACTGTATTGGTGTCACTGGGGATGTCAGTGACACAAAGTCTGTTCCCCCCCCCAGTGTCAGAATGTCCGCCGCAGTCCCACTATAAGTTGCTGATTGCCGCCATTACTAATAAAAAAAATTAAAAAAAAGCCCAGTATATATACGGCCATTTGTAGATGCTATAACTTTCACATCAACCAATTAATTTACATGTATTGGGGATTTTGTTTAGCAAAGACATGTAGCAGAATACATTTTGGCCTAAGTTTATTATGAAATTAGATTTTTTACTGGACATGTTTAATAGCAAAAAGTCAGAAATATTGTTGTTTTTTTTTTCTCAAAACTATCGTTTTTGTTTTTATAGTGCAAAAAATAAAAACCGCACATGCGATCAAATACCACCAAAAGAAAGCTCAATTTGTGGGGAAAAAAAGGATGTAAATTTCATGTGGATGCAGCATGGCATGACCACTCAATTGTAAGTTAAAGTAACATAGTACCGTAACGCAAAAAATGGCCTGGTTGGAGGAAGGGGGGGGGGGTAAATTCTCTGGTGGGCAAGTGGGTAAAAAAAAAAAAAAAAAAAAAAAGAATACAGAGTTGCATCAATATGTGTCTTTCATATCTGCAGGGAGTTCAGCTTTAAAAGTTTCCAGCATAGCTAACACCTTAATACCACTTGATAACTTACCTGGCTCAATCCTAATACCACATCCAGCACATCTGTAATTCTGTTTTGTGACTGCCACCTTCTTCCTGTAAAAATATGAAGCATATGATAAATGTCAGAAATCCCAGTCTACCCTTACAAACAGCTGTATTCTTAAAGCATACGTTGGAGCTGTGTGTATGTTGAAGATGATCTGTGGTCTTGGTGGGGCCCATTCCAAGTTTCCTCGAACACGAATCCGCAACTTGTAAATGTCCGCATGTTCTCCATCATCTGGAGAGATTGGCATGGAATCTGGGATTGGTAGGAGCTAGAATACAGAAAAACAAAAAAACACAATGAATAATAAATTCATGTACGAGGAGAGTGGAGTGCAAGTAGTGTGTCACACGTATGCTGTAGCTGGCCTTACTTGGTCCTGAGCAGCTGATCAGAAAATGCCAACATTGGATTAGAAGATCAAATCGAGTTAAATGTGTTGAAATGTTAGGCCCAGATCTAATGCACAAAGCTACTGGTTACATGGCTCTCTGGCCAGTTAGTGGTATGCCATGCACCTCCTACACTTCCACACTTTCCACATACCAACTTGAGTTTTCTAGCAAGTCGTTTTCTCTTAAGCTTTTTATATGATTGTCGTAATGTCCGGAAACCAATAAATGAATGCTGAAATCAGAGTATGGAGAATAGAATTGACGTCATTTGTGCTGAGGTCTAATACAGCCTCCATCACTTATCAAAACCAACTATAGATTTCATTACATTACGAAAAGAGTTTTAAATATCCAGCATCACTTACTACACATTATTCACACGGCTCACAATCGTTTTCTTAGCATGAGATAGCGGTTACATTCTACAAGGATAGCATTCTAAAAGTGCCAATTAGAATAGTGAAAAGAGCATTCAAGAGTGGTGGCTGTTTTTCTATTCAACATGCGTATCCACTGCAGGTTGCACTGCGCATCCACTGCATGTTGCACTACATGTTCTACTGCATGTTGCACTGCGCACTCACTGCATGTTGCACTGCGCGCCCACTGCATGCCCCACTGCGCGTTTTCACAGCACATGCGCTGCATGTTCCACTGCGCGTCCCACTGCATGTTCCACTACACGTTGCACTGCGCGTTCCACTGCATGTTGCACTGCGCGTTCCACTGCCCATCCACTGCATGTTCTACTGCGCATCCACTACATGTTGCACTGCGCACCCACTGCATGTTGCACTGCATGCCCCGCTGCATGTTGCACTGCGCGTTCCATTGCGCGTCCATTGCATGTCGCACTGCGCTTTCCACTGCATGTCGCACTGCGCGTCCAACTGCATGTCGCACTGCGCACCCACTGAATGTTCCACATGTCTAACTGCGTGTTCCACTGCATGTTCCACTGTGCGTTCACTGCGCGTCCGCTGCATGTTCAACTACGTGTGCTCTGCACATCCGCTGCATGTTGCACTGCGCAACCATTGCATGTTGCACTACATGTCCAACGGCGCGTTCCACTGCATGTTGCACTGCGCGTCCACTGCGCATCCACTAGATGTTCCACTACACACTCAGCTCCATAGAGCTATACGATCAGTGCTGTGCTAGATTGTCACCATTTAATCAAAGATCAAGAGAACTGCTTGATGGGTTCAGGAGCAATGGGCCAATAGTTT